GTCCCTGAGCTAGAGGACGAAGCATTTGAATAGCAGGGACGGGACTGCCTTACCCCTGAACGCGTTTCAGTGTAAAGAGATTTATTAAAGAGGTTGTTTTTTGTTTTTTTTAGATCCACGCACACGTGTTCCCCCCCACCCCGTGCTGCTGTTTCACTGACCTCTCCACCCCCCTGAGGCTGGAGGAAACTCAAAGTTTATGCATGCAGGACACACTTTGTCCTTTTTGCTCCAAGCTGCAAATCTTTTCATTAGCTCAACCAGCCATACAAGATTTCCCTGTGATTCAGCATTCACTGTTACTGGTTTGGTTTGTATTTTCTTCTGCAAGTTTATTTTTATTTTTTGTGATCTAATTACTTCTGCGTAATATTCTGTTTATTTTAGCCATGGTTGAAACGTTCAGCTCATTCAGAAGATGGTGGCAAAGACTTTTGTTCTTAATGCAATTTTGATGCTTTTGGATGCAAAATATTTAACTTTGGTATCATATATTTTCAATTCCTTCAAAAACCCTGTTTTTTTGTCTTCTTATACTTTAGCTGCTGTTTACTTTGAACTTTCAGCTCCCATTCTGTTATTTTTAGTTTTTAGTTTGTGTTTTACTTTTATTTTTAGCTTGTTGAGGCTTTTGGCTACACTTTGGCTATCTCAGCATTTAGTCACTTTTACACTAAAGTCTTTTCTCCTCTTTGCTTCCTTTCACTGTCATTTTTTTTGTTTGTTTTATAGCTTGATTATTTTAGATTTAGCAACTCTGTTTTAGCTTTAGGGGCGGCTGAGGCAGAGTGGTTGAGGGAGTCGTCCTGTAACCGGAAGGTCGCCAGTTCGATCCCCCGTTCCAGCCATCTCAATCATTGTGTCCTTGGGCAAGATGCCTTACCTGCCTTGCTGCTGCTGGTCAGAGGGTCTGGTGGCACTGGTGCATGGCAGCCCAACTTCTGTCAGTGTGCCCCAGGGCAGCTGTGGCTACAATGTAGCTTACCGCCCTCAGTGTGTGAATGTGAGTGCTTTGAGGTCCGGAGGGACTTGATAAAGCATTATGCAAGTTCAGTCCATTTATCATTTCTACAGCGAGTTATATCTGTCATCCATCTCTCACAGAGGTGTCAAAAGTGTTCACATTCATTATTTAAGTAGAAGGATAGATACTAGGGTTTAAACATAATTTTTTGGAAGTAGAAGTATCAACTCAAGCTTTTTACTCAAGTAAAAGTATAAAAGTAATGATTTTAAAACTACTTAAGTATAAAAATAAAAGTAATGAACACTTAAA